TTGCATACAGGAGAGAGGAAAAACAGATGACTGCCAGCGGAAGGGAGCTGAAATCCATGCAAACTTTGAAAAATAGAGTAGTTGCTTAGAAACAATTGTGCCTGCGTGTCTCGTGATGTTTTTCTTCCTCTGGTTTTCATTAATACAAAATAATTTCTTTACCTGTCTATCTCCTGTCTGCAAGAAAGTTTACAGCGTACCAGTCCCGCTCCTGCCTCTGCATCTGGTTTCTGGTGACTTGGGGAAAATCCCGACCCTTTCCCCGTGCCTCAGTTCTTACTCTCTAAAACGATGCTCGCGTCCGAGAGATCTTCTGCCACGGCGTTCAGGTCTCCCGAGGAAAAGTGCTACATAAAAAAGAGGCTCTTGGCAGGTAAAACAAGGTTCGGGTGAGTTTCCATCTTTGAAGAGTCTCGGGCCTGTGGAGCCAAAAATTAGTTTGTTTTCCTATTAGCTTTGCTTGTCAGCTGCCATTTAACCCTCTGCTTTTCTAACAGAGTTAAAAAAAAAAGTCACCGCACCATGAGTGTGGTCTTTTTTCCTACTCAATTATCTCGCCTTAGTAAATACAAGTAACTCCATTTAACTGCCCTGGGAACAATTTCTGCATCTATTGAGCTGGCCTACAGTAAGTCTTGTGGTTCCCTGTTGGCCTTGGAAAACGAGCACACTTCGTTATACGGAATGGTTTACTTCACCTCATTATTTTTTCATAATCTTATTGTGCTTCCCCTTTTAACACTGACGAGGGGAGGAAAAAAAAAAAAGGCAAATAAACAAGCAAAGGTCCTTTTGGGTCCAGAACCTTATGCACTGTCTTTTGGGAACTGCGTATGTATGTCAATTATGTGGAGTTAATTGGGCGCTCCATAAGGCTTTTTGGGAAAAGTCGAGTGAGTTTTAGGGCAAGAAAAGCTCTTTCATAACCCTGCTAGCTGAGGCCTTTAAACGCCTTCTTCACGAATCAGTCCAGAGCTAACCGGTCGAGCCCAAGTGAAGCTGAAAAGACTTCGTGTCTCCGACCCCTGTGCTTCCTCGTCATGTTTCTCTTCACTATTGAAGTGATTTCTAGAGAAAGCCCAGACAACGGCGGTTCTGGTCTCACGAGTGCCTCGCCTCGCTTCTTCGGTGCCTTGGCGATGCCTGCCATCTGCTCTTCCGTCTTTATCCCCCTCCACTCCAATCCCTGATCCTCTTTATGGTGCTCTTCTTCTTTATCCCAACGTCCCCCAGCAAATCCAGGTGAGTCATTGCACTCGGTTGAGACCGCGCTTTAATCTTCCTTCGTATCTGCGATGTAAAGTGACGTAACGGTGCTGGTGTGTCATGCTGCAGATGCTGTAAGGACAACGGGCGTTTAACTGCTGCTTTAGCAGTCTGGATATCAGCCCCCCGCTACATTGGGCATTAATTCTGCTGATGACCAGCGCCCGAAGCTTCAGAAGAAAGAGGAAACCTCTACGCTTTGCCTGTTGCATGAAGCTCTGGGTTGGTTCCTCGTCGCCGGAGGAGAGGAGGATTGCTGTGGTGGAGCAGGCGCGGTTGGGTAACTCGAGCTCAGAAGACAGCCTGAAAATCAGCTCCTCGGTCGGACGCACTGGGGCTGCACGGGGGCTTTACTGCGCTGGTTTATGGTGCTGGGACAGTGGCCTGTGTCCCCGAGGGAGCAAATCCAGCCTGAACCTCGGGTGACGTGTCCTGGGGCACCCAGGGCTTTACAGCAAGTTGAACGAGAGCTGGCTTCTGTGCCACCACCTCAGTAACCTCATATAAACATACATTTTATCTCACTCGCTCTCCATAGAAGGGGCAGTAATATCCAATACAGCGAGATAAATGTGACTTGGGGCTTTAATTCACCTCTGGTTTTATGAGTTTTTCATCGGTTTTACAATGTTTTTTTAATTTCCAAGGCATTAAAAGCCAGGCAGTCCGCCCCAGCTGCCACAAAATTAAGCTTAGCAGTTCACGGGTGACCCAAACGTATCCAAACAGACCCACAATCGTCTCAGATTTGCTTCTCCTTTGCGGTTTTCCAAACAAAAGGTCATACCCCGGGGTGTGCCTACTCCAGCAGAGCCAGATGGGGATTCCCCCCTTGGCAGAACCGCAGCCGGCAGCTCCGACTCTGCCTCTCGCCAGCCCTGCCTCACCCTCGCATTTTTCCCGTGTCTTGTCCTCCCTCTCACACCATTTCTGACAACGATCCAGCTAAAATAACCAGATGAAGGCTCCGCTCGCATCACAAAGAAACCGAGTGAAAATGGGGGTTTTCAGCCGAGTCGGTTGATGCCTTCCCTCTTGATTTCCCTCCTGGAGCCGGTACTTCAGGATGCTTCTCTTGTCTTTCCCTTCTAGCTTGAGAGCAACTGCCCCACAGCACCCCCGAGTCCAAACCCACACGTTTCATTGCCTGACTCCAAACCCAGCGCCCCGAGGCCGGTCTGGCGGCGCTCCATCACACGGATCGTCCTGCAGTTCCCATCTCCCGGCTGCTCCCGGCTGTGGTGCCCATTC